CAAGTACAGGCCGTCCCCCACCTCCATGTCTGTTTTTCAGGTGTCCGACTGGTGCTCTGCACCGAGGTCTGAGCTGGCTCGAGCCTCCGACTGGTGCCTTTGTCGTGCGCAACAAGAGCAAGAGCAGTCGAGATGCGCTTGCCTTTTCGCTGCTGATAGCCCCGATGGCAAGCAACTAAGTAAGTATATGTACCGGGGTACCTAACCTGGGTCGTCGCCTGCTTCGTACGTACTTGCCGCTTGTAGCTGAGAGCTCTCACCAGCGCCAAACGCCTACGACTATCCGAGTCGGACTACAAAACCGACCACGTCAAACCCTCACTCTCTTTTACTTTCCCCAGCCCACCGTCCTTTTGCCCTGCGATAGCTTCCTCGGTGGCATTTCTTGTCCTTGTCCTTCGTTTTGCACTTGCGTCTGGGGCATTTGGGACACAAACAGCAACGTAGGGGGCCATTCTCTTGTCTTGTTCTCGTCTTGTTCACCCGCCGTCATCAGCTTTGCTGCCACCGTCCTCATTGGACCGACGCCACCATGCCTGGAAGCTCTCGAATGCCCGTCAGTCTCCTCGGCGGCTTCGAAAAGGTCAAGCGCCGAGGACCCGCCAACCCTCTCGATTTCCTCACCGTCGACTTGTACGTGATATTCCCATGACCTTTGTTGTAACTGTTTGTTTGTGTTTTCTTGCCGGTGAAACATGTGCTGTTCAGCCTGCTATCCAGCTCTCCCTCCGATGTGGTGCCTCTTTGTGCATGTCGGTCATGAGCTGGCTGAGGCGCATTGGCGCATTCTATGTTGGCTCTATATTGCCAATAGCCAATTGGTCGTGACGTCAAGCATCGCGCCAATTGGCGTCGACTCACCTCCCGTTTTCTTCACACACCACACCGAGAAACAACCTTCTCACCGCATGCTCATCGGATTTCTTGGCTGACACCTCATCTTCGTTGTTGCTGCTAGGCTCCGGAATATCGTCTTCTACTACTTTGTCCTCCGATGGACCCGACGTGCTTTCTGGAAGCTCAAGGGTCGAGGCCCGATCGGCGCCATCCTCGAGTTGTACCATGTAATCCACCGCACATTATACGGTTATTTCCTTCGCGCCCCTGGCGTGCGTGGCAAGGTCCAGAAACAGGTCAACGAGTCCATTGCTCAAATGTCGTCCAAACTCATTGCACAGACTGATACCCGGTACTTGACCCTTCCCAAGGAGGGCTTGACCGCAGATACTGTGCGTGCGGAACTTGAGATGCTGGCCAACCTCGACCACACCCGCTGGGAGGATGGCTTCGTCTCCGGAGCCGTCTACCACGGCGAGGAAAGTCTCATCGGCCTGCAGACCGAGGCTTTTGGCAAGTTTACCGTTGCCAATCCCATCCACCCGGATGTCTTCCCGGGTGTGCGCAAGATGGAAGCTGAAGTAGTCAGCATGGTGCTCAACATATTTCATGCCCCTCCTGGAGCTGCCGGCGTTTCGACTGCTGGCGGTACTGAGAGCATCTTGATGGCGTGTTTGAGCGCTCGCCAAAAGGCGTATGCCGAGCGCGGAGTCACGGAACCTGAAATGTATGTCTCAACATTTTGAACAAGGGTGCGGCAAGTTGTCGTACCTATGTTGTGCATATTAACCGTGCCAGAACGTGGCAAATGGCTAACCATTGTCTTGGCAACAAACAACAGGATTCTCCCTTACACTGCACACACTGCCTTCCGCAAGGCCGGTGATTACTTTGGTATCAAGATTCACCTCGTCGACTGCCCTGCGCCCAGCTATCAGGTCGACGTCAAGAGAGTGGCGCGTCTGATCAACCCCAACACGGTTCTGCTAGTCGGTTCTGCTCCCAACTTCCCTCACGGTATCATCGACGACATCACGGCCTTGTCCAGACTGGCTGTCCGCAAGAAGCTCCCCCTCCACGTCGACTGCTGCCTAGGGTCGTTTCTCGTGCCGTATCTCGAAAAGGCCGGCTTCGAATCGGAGCTTTTCGATTTCCGTCTCAAAGGTGTTACCAGTATCAGTTGCGACACCCACAAGTACGGCTTTGCCCCCAAGGGTAATTCGACCGTGTTGTACCGCACGGCGGAGCTACGCCAGTACCAGTACTATGTCTGCCCTGACTGGTCCGGAGGCGTTTACGCATCTCCCGGTATTGCTGGATCGCGCCCTGGTGCATTGATCGCCGGCTGCTGGGCGAGCTTGTTGACCGTAGGCGAGGCCGGCTATGTGGATGCTTGTGTAAAGATTGTTGGTGCCGCCAAGAAGATCGCAGAGGCCATTCAAAGTTCTGGAACGCTCAACGGCGAGCTCGAGATTGTCGGTAAGCCCCTCGTTTCCGTGGTCGCCTTCACCGCTCTCAACCTCGACATCTACGACATTGCCGATGCCATGTCGAGCAAGGGATGGCATCTCAATGCGCTGCAGAACCCTCCGGCAATCCACGTGGCTGTAACCATGCCCATTGCCAAGGTGTGGGAGCGTCTGGTTAGCGACCTGGAGACTGTTATCGAGGAGGAACGCGAGAAGGAAAGAGTGCGTCAGGTGGAGGGCAAAGGGGCCAAGGGCAAGGCCATGGGCAACTCGGCTGCCCTGTATGGTGTAGCTGGCTCTCTGCCAAATAAGAGTGTTGTCGTGGACCTGGCAAAGGGATTCCTGGATATTTTGTACAAGGCATAAGATGTCGGCAGCGATTGGGGTTCAAGGGTGAATATAGGAGGCGAATTGTATAAGCAAAAGGGAGCCTGATTTACGGCGGAAGTTTTTTCATTTTTTTTTCATCTGCCTTTTTGTGTTGTGTGGGGGTGATTTCTTTTATGAAGGCGCCCTTTGCAGCATTCATAGCATTATTGAAGCATCAATAAATAGCCTACAAGTCACGGCGAGTTTATCTCTAATCAGGACACGAGTGGGCAGATGGCGATATCCGTCGTCTTCGGTAATGGCACGGCGTCGAATGCGCAACAGAGCCTCATTAAATGGTTCCTAGGGCGCTCGAGATGGAATCAAGGTTCTCCTCCCTTGTTGTTGTTGTCTGGCCGTAGACGCACCAGCCAATAAAGCAATCTAGATGGTGCTGACGCGGGCAAAACGGCTACAGCCTCACTTTCGAGTGTCCGATGACGAAAGACGCATTCAGACGGCCAGCAGCACCACACCACCATTTTTGCTCGCCCACGGCCCATTCATTCACTCACGGTCAGTTGGTCGGGCTGCGCTCTGTGCAAAATTTAAATTTTTTATAACCTCGCTCCCTCCCTCCCCTCCCCTCCCCTTCCACAGCCCAAGTCGGTGACCAAGTGCGATGCCGAGAAGGGGGGGGAGGAGGAGGAGGAAACAGCGGTAGGTCAAGTAGTCTGTGGTTCAACTCGCGGGGGAAGGGGCCTCTCAGAGGGAAGAAAAGGGTCTGGTCTGTCTGGTCGATCGGGAAGGAGGGGGGTTCCCGCGGCAGAGGGGCAGCGGAAATACCAGAGACAAAGGGAGGCAAAAATGAGGCGGGTGGTGCAGGAAAAGGCGTGGCGAAGGCCTGCATAGCGCCTGGTGTCATATGCAGGGCTTGCAAGCGGGACATGCTGTCGTGCAGGTGACTGAAGTGCCTCTTTTTGGCGTCTTTGCCCTTTTGCGGTGATGCCCAAGGACCAGACTGGACACCAGACCTCGAGGGCAGACCGGTTGTCTTTGCCACTTGGGGATCAATGTGCAGTCGGGTGGGATTTGGTGCCAGGCTGCCTGTTTATTATTATTATTATTATTTTAATGCTTCTTTTTTTTTTCTCTTTAAAAAAAAAAAAACAAGGGAATCCTGGGGTTTGTCGGCATGAGATACGAAATGGCTGCATTTTCGAGAGGTGGGTGGGGAGATGCAATTACTCGGTACATGAAGCTGGGGGTTGGTGATGTGAGCATTTGTCAAGGTTCAAGGGTCTTACAGGTGGCCACTTTTTGCGGAAGAGAGCAGTGGCATTTGCTGCTGGACTTGGAGTTGTATGTATGGCATGTGCGTTGCGAGCGAGTGCACGCCTTTGCGGCCTGCCCTTTCTTCTTTCCATGTTGCCCCCTCCATCAATGTCGATGTCCCCGCGGCGGCAGGCGGTAGGTACTTGGGTACTCAGGAAAGTTGGGTAAAGGTGAAGTACCTAAGTACTTCTAAGTAAGTACCTAGGTACTTAAGTAGGTACTTAAGGTATCACGCTGGCGACGGCGGCGGCGAAACAGGGTGGTGGTGGTTTTGGTATACTACTAATTTCAATGTTCCCTTGCTTCTCTTCCCCGGGCGGCCGGGTCGCACAAGGCGTACCTTTTTGTGGGCTTGCTATCTCGTTTTTCTTGCTGCTGTGTGAGTTGAACTATTTGAGATGCCATGTGGTGGCACGGGGGACGGGGGAACAAGGTAACAGGTCAGGTAACAGGTCGACAGGTTGCATATACGTGCATGGGGGAGGATAGTCGGGAGTTCTGCCGTGCGCATGTGGCGAGAGAGCGTCTGGAGGAGGTACGACGGTAGGACATGTCAACAATCAACCTCGTCGGAAGGGGCCGCGTGCCTTGATTGGATGCACCCGGCCAGAGCTGCTCGACACATGGGCCGTTGACATCTGGATTTCTTCTTTATCGTGGGTGGGCGTGACGAGAAGACGGCCAGTGCTTGGCAAAGCCAAGGGTGTGCACCGATACATTGGGGTAAATGCGTAAATGGGCTGCTTCGTCGGGTTTTCAGTCCATCGTCTGTTGATGCCAGTTGTTGCTGTAAGTTGGGTCATGACAAGAAAGCATATAACAATTGCCCGCTGCCCCGTCGTGAGTCAACAGCTCAAACACAACCGCTCAACTGGTCCCCTTCATCATCATCATCGCCGCTGCTGTGAATTGGTGATTGACTCCTTTTTTGAACTCGTATAAACCACCATCACCTTCTTGCTTGCGCTCTCCCCCCCTTTCACCTCTGTCTTCGTCGTCCATCTTGTCCCCTCCTCCATCTTCCATCCTCCTCCTCCGTCCTCCATCACCATGGCGGCAGCAGGCCCTGCCATGGAGTCGGCGTCCTGCGTTGGGCTCGGGCTGAACCTGGCTCAGGACGCGGATATATCGCATTTTTCTCTGCGGAGCGACGCCGTCGCGCCAGAGACGAAGCCAGCGGCCCCCAGGAACCGCTTCCAAGCTACCGTGGATGACGACGACTCGGACCAAGACACCGTCGTCGCATCACCAGCCCGCAACAAGGTTGCAGACAGTGTCTCATCGTCCTCGCCCTCGTCCTCTTCAAGGACGTCTACCCAGAGGCCCAATGGCGATTGTCCAGACCACCACCAGCCTGTCTCACCAACACCCGCCAGCCGATATGGCAAAGCTTGTCCTTCTCCTTCTCCGTCTCCTTCGTCTTCATATTCCCATGCAAGCCCAAGCTCATCAAAGTCACACACCACGTCCTCTTCAACGGCATATGTGACCCCCAATGCAACACTTACACCACCCTCGTCTGCCGAGTCCAGCCCCAAGCAACGGCCTACCGTGCACTTTTCCACCAGACCCCCCGTCGTGCTGCACCACAGATCAAATAGCTATCCGGTAGCGACGGAGCCTTCTTCGCCGCGATATACCACGTCGTCACGCGGCGACGGCGGTCCACACATGTCCGTGGTCGACAGACAATGGGGTCAACTGTTTACCGAACACGGCGAGCCAACCAGGAGATTGGCCGCGGTGCTACGCGGGTTGGCAAACTTCATGGTAAGGAACCAACAACACGCCGGGCCGAGCTTGTTTCTGATGAGTCTGATGAGTCCAGATCCGGGAATACGAACCACGCAATTCGCTCGTCATCCCTCCTGTCAAGATGTTTGCCTTGTATAGGAGATATAAACTTGACAAGGAACAATTCCCTTTCCAAGGTCCGCCGTCGCCCCCTCCCCCCCCCCCCTTCCAAGACTTGAACAAGAACACAGTCCTGATGATTGTACCCAGGAATATTCGACTACCAATCCCGTCACTGCCTTCGCAGCCTGGAGCTCCTCTACCAAGACCTCTCTTGCGAATACCACCTCATCCAGGACCAGCACTCCACGCGTCCCTGCATCCCTGCCCTTACACCCGTCGGCCTGCAGACCTGGCTGACGGCTTTCATCCAAGCCGCGCCAGACGCTGAATCCTACCGCCTCCAAAGCATCCTCATGGACATCCCCCTCGAGGCAGACCACCAAGGCCCAACCCCAGTAGAGCGCCTACCAAAACAGCTATCCCGGCACTTGTTCCCTGCCCACAGAAACGACCGCACATACAGAGACATTGTCTGTGCTCTAGACGACTGGAGTAAACGCATGGGGAGCTCGTCCGAACCCCCCTCCCCCTCGTGGAGCAACCTCCTCTTCGAAGCATTCCGGGGCGCCTCACACATGAGTTCCAGCCCAGCAAGCATGGGACGCCGAGAGAAGCCCTACCACACAGACGATTACAAGCGGCACAGCAGCCGCAAGTCGCCTCCGGAGGACGTCACCATATCCCCCGCAAACACCTCCCGCCGCAGGCAGAGCACCTCCACCGCCAGTCGCACGCCACAGGAGGCAAAGTACTACTACTCGTCCTCGTCCTCTTCCACTTCCTCCTCCCAGCGTGAGAAGGCGTATAACCCCGAGCCCCGGTACTTTCCTAGCTCGCGCAGCGAGCCCTCTAGGCGCAGATACTCGGAGCCATCGCCCGAGCGCATCAAGTACGATAGACACACGAGCAGACGGCGCGACAAGAGCCCCAAGGCCGCAAGGGCCGCATCAATCGACAGCGAAAGGAGATATAGGCACCCTCCGCGAAGCTATTCCAGTTCTTCGTACTCAAGGGGGGCAGAGGACGTAGATAGGGGCCGAATGGCGCCGGATTCGAGCAGCTGGACACCTGATGCGTCGCCCGGGAGAGTGGACAGCTACCGCTTCTTTCAGGGGAGGCAACAAGGGCCGACATACGATGAGTTCTTGCGAGGGAAGGCGAGAGGGTGAGAAACAGCAGAGGGCAAGAGTCGCGCTGGACCGGCAGATTGTGTGACTGTGATATGGCGAGCAAAGGCGTGCAACAATGTACTAGGATGAATGACTCATGACTTTTGTATAAATTGGGAAAAAGGGGGAACTGATGACATAACGACCACGGGTTTGTTTCCATAGCATGACGGGAGAGGAATTGATATCTTGACGACAACAGTCGGGGACTATTCGAGGTATCAGAATGTATACCATGTATGAATTCAGATTAAAAAAACAAAATAAAATTCAAAGTAGGATTATATCCTTCGTCTGCCTGCTATGCATGGTATCACTCAAAAGAAGAAGCCGCTGTTTGACACTCGTAGCAAACATTCGGTCAAGAAACAATCTTTGCGCCGCCCCCATCAAATATCCCTGTACAACATGTGCGTCTGAAGAAGAGGTAAACATGCGAGAGGGGAAAAAAAAAGGATAAGAGAAACAAGCCAAATTCCGGAAAAGAACAAGTCCAGGCTATGCAGATAACATCTCGATTCGCATAAAAGTTCAGATAGTGGAGGGCCAATCGTCAATTAGAGTCCCGAGTTCGTCGTACAGCCATACAACTCGTGTAGTAAAATCAAACTCGTACAGCCGTCTAGTCGTCGTCGTAGTCGTTATAAAAACATGTTAATGAAGTAAGGGCAGTCAGTTGCTGTCAAGATTCCCACGATGGGGTGTTATCGTAACGGTGTCCCCATTTGAAGGGGGTCGAAGCCCCGAACGCTGGCCATGCTGGCCCGATGCGCTCGTTTTCGTTTCAGGGCTTGGTAATCGTCTTTGAACGTGGCAATACATCGCTGGAGTTCCTTATCAGGGTGCGGTGGCATCTGTATCTCGACTGCTTTCAGGCATATCCTCAGATGCTGCAGCTCACCGTCATTTTCTTGGAGCTCCTCCTCTCTAGTTCTCGTCTCAGCAAAATGTTGCCAGGCCGCGTCACAAGGCTATACGTACAGGTAGGAAATGCGGTTCTGCAAAAAAATGATGCGCTGGGCCGCTCGTTCTGCCCGTTCAATGAGAAGTCCTTGAATATGCTGAAGCCAGTGTTAGCTAAGAACAATTCGAGAAGATTAAAGAATTGGTATGGCCATAGAAGCCACTCACCTCGGACTCCTCTTGCCGAGCCTTGAGATTGTTCACCACCGTTGATAGTTCCTCATTGAGCTTGTTCATCTCTGCAATCACCTTCTTCGCCTGTGTCCCCGTCATGCCCTTCTTTGACGGAGCCTCATCCTCGGGTTCCTTTTCGGCCTCGCGCTCTCTATGCAGCGATGCAGACAAGTCAGAAAAGCGCGATCTGAAAAGGGAAGAAACGGGTGACCCTAGCACAGAGCCGGCGTCACTTCTTCCCGGGCTATCAAAGCTTGTTTGGTATGGAAGCTTTTTAGACTCAGCGCTCCTAGCGCTGCCAACGACCTTTTCAAGCTGCTCGAGTTGGCTTCCAACCATCATCTCATCAACATCATCGGATCCGTCATAAGTAAGCCGCCGGGCCAGGTGGCTAAGTCGCCTCGCTAGATCGTGCCTTGCTGCGCGAGACGTCACGGCGTCAATGCCTTCGGGCAGCATCGTGTGCATCTGAGATAAATCACGTCTGAGCGGACTGATGCTACCCCCTGGATTAGGAAAGGCCATACTAGAGGCAGCATGAGTGCTAGTCCGCCGCGGTGGAGTGTAAACTCCTCGGTCAACAAGTTGGTCTATGCCGTCATGTGTTCTGCTCAACGGCCGGGGAGAAGAATGTTGACTAGTCGTGTAACTTTGACTTCGATGACTTTTGCAGCTGCATTGGCTACAGGCACCATTTTCACTGCTCCCGCTGTTGCTGCTGCCCATGCTTCGGCGATCCAGCGCCGGAGTAGTTGGCGATGGCTCGTGTCGCTCTGCGTGACCCATGTTGATCTTGTGGGTTTTCTGAATTGAGGCCGTTGGGCTGTATGGCAGGCGCGCAGCCAAAGGAAAGGGCAAAGAAACAACTATATCGAGGCTCAACCCCTTTCGCGGTGGCCGTGCTATCCGCGGCCAGCGGCACAACAGAAGACACGTCCAACCTACCCAGACATCTAGCCAAGTGAATCATACACTCGACCACCGACACCTGTTGCAAAAACCAAGAACCGCGTGAGAGAAGGAAGAACGAACAACGACCCAGCCACCTGGCCTTCTGTGCCTGAGAAGCCAACAATTGCTCACCGACCTTCACGAACAAGCAAGGTCCAGGGGGCAGGTACTCCGTACCCAGTACCAGATTTGGCACTAGCGCCCAGAGCGGATTCTGAGGATGCACAAGAAGTCGGCCAAGGTCGACCACACACACAAGGCGGCGAGCACGTCGTTCAAGCCGCTTCTTGGACCTGGGGCCGAGATGGGGCGGTCGACGGAAGCTAGCAGTCGGCTGCTAACGTGTTCAACGCTGATCTGGGATGGCCTTGGTAGCTTCTGCTGAGCTCGGGCTGGGGAACGTCTTGCACAAGCCCTCGTTCGCACCAGGTCCGAGCAGTTCCGATGGACCGAGATGGGCTCGCGGAGGTGAAGGAGATTCGAGCTGGCGGCTCACGGCTGTCACGTCTGTCGCGTCTGTCTCTGGCAAAATGTGAACCAGCATCCCAGACTGCCCACATGCTACAAGACGAGCCATACAGAGGGGAGAGCTCGCAGTCGAAGGTGCTTGTGCGTGTGTATCGGCCGGGTTGGGGGGGTTAGGGGTGGGTGGATGATGCTCGGCTGTTGTCAACTGGCGGGCAGAGAAGCGGTCGAGCTGCGGCCAGGGGCAAGTCACTTGACGACCAAGCACGACTCCGTAGCAGAGGAAATAGTGCGGCGCTGATTGGCCGGAATTTGGTCCGGTTCCCTTCAGACATGTGTTGACGAGGAACATGATGCAGAGCCGACCTGCAGTCCAAGGTACAGCAACACGCCTTGGAAGCGAGTGAATTATCTGCACGACTAACCGGCATGAATCAAGAGCTGCATCATCTTCACTGCCGCATTCAAGTGCCTGTCCGCCAACAGCAGTCTGGCAGCCATGTGTGTGCCCATGCCCTGCTTGCCTTGTATTTTCGACATATGCAAATCCGTACAACGGCGAATATGTCCCCATCAACACGTCAATAGTGTCATGTTGCTGTTTCAAGGTCCAGGGTGGTTGACCTCACCGGTGTCATTGGACGCGAACAGTCAGTCTTAGCACGTTGACATATCAATCTACAAGCAAATTATGATATTGGCTACTACAGGGTATCCGGTACAATCAAACATGTTGTATTGTCTTTCGCTCCCTGTCCCAGTGCACACACTGCAATGTCCAGGGCCGAGTAGTACCTTCCCAAAGTATTCATAAGAAAGAGAAGAAAAAAAACCAACGCAACATGCACCATGCCGCGACATGTCTGTCTGCAGCTTGATACATGGCATGGATGTCACGGCCATCCAGCTCCGTGGGTTGCGCAGCCCCTGGTAAGCGCCGTAGCGGTTTTGCAGATTTCAATTATCAATCAATCGAACCATAAAAACTTTCTTTTTTTTAAAAAAAAAAAACAAAAAAAAAAAAAAAAATCTCGACTTTGGCACCACCTTGTGCCCATGCCGAGTCTGGACGGGTGGCATGTTCGATATCAAGTGTCGAGCGGCGAGGTTGCTCCGTCGTCGACGGAGTACTTCGACGGAGTACTTCGACAGCACATGCAGATTGACTGGATTAGCCGCCCCTCCTAATGTCGATTCCCTCCGTTGGGCCGTGCTCGCCCTACCCGACGATCGAATGCTCTGTGCTGTTCCCCTCTGGGCTCAGGCGCTCTCTCCAGCAGGGAACGCACCAAGCAGGGCAGCATGACGGCGCCTGGGGCAAAAACGCCCACTGTTTATTGCATCACCACCTCCCGTGTCCGTGTCCCCCGTCCCCCGTCCCCCGTCCCAAACCCCAGGCCTGCATATCCCATTGCCGACCGACGCCCGTCTAATCCTCCTCGCCTTCTCCCTCCAGCCCACGCGACACTTTTCTACACATGCACCTTGGACTTGCCACCAGTGCTGGCGCTTCGACTAAAAACCAAAACCATCCCGCTTGCCGCCCCCTTTCCTCCCCTCGCTCGTCTCAATCTGGCCTTTGTCTTCTTTGCGGCAGCTTGCACTCTCCATATTGACGGTGCCGTCTTCTGCTTCGCCGCCAGCCCTGTCCAGACCTTGCTGGGCCTCGGCTCTCACTTGTAGCTCCCGCGGGGCCCAATTGCTGCTTTGACTCAGAGCCGCCCCGCCGTCTTCCGACCTCGCGACTGACGGCATCAATGACCATCTTTTGTTTGGCAGACCTTTGTGCCACCGCATCACCTGCTTCAATCGTCACTCTGCGCCTTGTTTCCTTTTCGAACCCTTTGGACCGAACCATAGAGGCATTGTTATAAGTCGCCTTCCGCTGCCCCGACCCTATCTGTCTCTCGGCCCGCCACCGCCATGTCGTGGAAGTCGTCAGAGAGACTGATGGACACCATCCGGCATTATGCCAAGTTTCCCGCCACGGGCGTGAGCCTGCGCCAGATGGTGCAGTTTGGTGACAAGCCATCCATAGGTATGCTGCTCTCCCCAACTGAGCTGTAAATCCGCCCATTGCCAGGCAGACCAAGTTGACTTTCTGGCGACCCAGGCACCCTATTCCGCGCCTCACAATTCTTGGCCGAGGAGTTGCCAATCCGCCTTGCGCATCGTGTCCAGGAACTAGATGACCTGCCTGATGGATTAAACGAGATGCCGTCTGTCATGAAAGTCAAAGATTGGTACGCTCAGTCGTTTGAGGTAGGTTTCCCATGACGCATTGTACCAACCCGGCGCCGTCCACAGAATATCCATTGATCCGTGGTACGCCAAACAGGAAATCACACAGCTTCCTCGGCCAAATCTGAGCAAAGAAATTCGCGATCGTCTCATGAAGCCTACCAAGGGCAACGGCCGCCATATCCAACGACTCTCCGACGCCACAC